ATGGCACTGTAAAATTATTTGCCAGTAGTATAAATGTTAGCATGGAAAAGAAGGTTAATTTTAGTGTTGGAACAAATGGTTAATATCGGCAGAATAACAAGACAGGTAGAACATTCAAAAAGACTTAGATTAATCACTTAACACGGAACAACTGATATTTTTTTTCTTCTTGTACTGGTGGGGGCCACTGGCTGAAGTATGTAACATGGGCTGGGAATATAGAGTTCAGAATAGACTTTCTGGCATTAAGGTGTAACTCTCAGCTGTGTGTTCATTGTACATCGCCTTGAGCAGGTTTTGAAAAAGTGATTAATGTAGCTTATAACCCACCAAATAAACAATAATGTTTTTTAACTAATTAGAATCTCTCAATAGGTGCCTAAAATAGGAAGCAGATCTCTATTTTAGCAATATTCCATTTCATTCCATGCTGTACAGAGCCACAGCAACCACAGAAAAACAGGTGACAGGTTTGGTCTCAGGCTTTCACAAAGTTTTATGTTCAAGCCAACATTTAAAAAGCCTTATAAAGAGCCACTCGTCTGGTCACCTGTATGACCAAGACCAGCCTCTAGGAAACCAGATAAGGAAACATTTTTGTAAACTGGAATCCCTCAGTATTGTCTGTTTTTTAAATGCTGTTGATGTAACATCAGTGACTAGCATGCAGGCAGGCAACCAAGTAAAAACTCCAAGGCCTAATAAGTTTATTTGCAAAACTGCATTAAAATGAATGCCATATGTGTAAAGGTAAGTGCCAATAGTAATTATTGGCCTTTTGGTTCTTGATTCCAGTTTTTGGGTCAGGTTTTTTTCCCCCTCCCTGTGTCTTACTATTTTTGTCATGGGGGTCCAGGGGGCACTTCTCATGTGGGGGTGGCATATCAGAGCAAATGTCATTTGTTTCCCAGATAGGGACACAAAGACAGTTGTGGATGTTATGTATGCATAAGTATTTTGCTGGGAAGAGACATGTAGGGGAATCGTGCTGTGGTTAAGATACACTTGGGAGTCACTTTCTTGACATGGAAAACCCCCTTCTATTCCAAGCCTATATAAGACAAATTTTAAGCAGAAAACACAAACACAGATGTGTTTATAGTATATGTTTGCAATATTTCCAGTATTTACTAACAAATTTGTAACTAAAAGATTGTTTAACATTTCCCACTTCATTGGAGTATTTAGACCTTGTGAGACTGCCAGCACTGTAAAGCACACATAAATCTTTCTTTGAACAAAATGGAAACAAACTCATTCTCTTTTTTAAAAAGGGGGGGGGAATAGCCTTCATCTGTCAAAATGTGTTTATACCAGCTCTGTCGTACAACACATTTCTCTGGAAAGAAACAAACTTGGATTCTTTGAAATGTCTTCAACAGCTGATAAATCTGTTTTTGTCCAAAATGTTCATCTTGAGTATCACTGACACATTCCTTAAGGCTGTTCTTCAAAAGCCAGCATTATTTATTCTGTAGTATACCAGAAGAAGCAAGGACTTCCCATAGAAATGACATTATGGCTCCATGTCATATATGAAGATTCTTTTGTATGCTAGAACTCTATAAATCATAGAATAGGAGCAATGCCTCTGACAGGTTTTAGTTAACTGTATGTACTCCAAATAGGGGTGCTACAGGATTATACGGTCCTACTGTTTTGCCTTTAAAAGCGCTAGGTTGAATCTTGTCAAGCTGTTCCACTAATGGCAGTACTTTCTTCTGGCACAAAGAACCTTCTGCTGACACAAGAGACACTTTTACCTGCAGAATCACTGGGTTAGTGGAATGGATGTGGAGAATCCAGCCCCATTCTCATTTGTTCCTTGTGCAGATTGAATCTATATAGATTTTTCACCATTGGCTTCCTCATGCCTACATTTTCCTATTAAATCTACACAATTGTTAACAATATTCTTGCATCAGCTGTATCTAATTGTTGAACCTGGCCCTAGAGTGCAGATCACAAAATTTTCACAGTTGGGCCATGTACAGATAGGGGGGGTATTCTTCCTTTGACAAATCTGTGGGAATACATAGAAATCTGAGAAGTGGGGGGAAAGGTGAGGGCAATTTAACCCCAGTAAACAACGCTGCAGCCCAAGAAGCAAAAATGATGGGGAGGGAGAGATGGAGGAGGCAGGGAGGAGAAGGGGTAGGTGTTGGTGAATGGGGAAAGAAGTAGGGCCGGGAAGAGAAGGCAGTTATGGGGCAGGAGAAAGCGACATGCAGTGGCAGCAAGAGAGAATAATAGGACATGGTAGGAGGACAAGGAGGAGCTGTCAGCAGGAGAGTAGGGAATGAAAGAGTTAGAGGGGAAGGCAGTGAAGGAGGGGGACACAGGAGGGGGAGGGGGAGAAAGGAAAAAAGGGAGGAGGCAGAGGCATCCACATGAGGCTGGGGAAGGTGAAAAGTGGGCTGGGGGGGGGGAAGCAGCAGTGGGGGGAGGGG